ACCCTACCCTGTCCATGACCCTAACCCTACCCTGTCCATGACCCTAACCCTACCCTGTCCATGACCCTAACCCTACCCTGTCCATGACCCTAACCCTACCCTGTCCATGACCCTACCCTGCCCATGACCCTAACCTTACCCTGTCCATGACCCTAACCTTACCCTGTCCATGACCCTAACCCTACCTTGTCAATGACCCTAACCCTACCCTGTTCATGACCCTAACCCTACCCTAACCCTACCCTGTCCATGACCCACCTTAACCCTACCCTGTCCATGACCCAAACCCTACCCTGTCCATGACCCGAACCCTAACCTGTCCATGACCCAAACCTTACCCTGTCCATGACCCACCTTAACCCTACCCTGTCCATGACCCTAACCCTACCCTGTCCATGACCCTAACCCTACCCTGTCCATGACCCTAACCCTACCCTGTCCATGACCCTAACCCTACCCTGTCCATGACCCTAACCCTACCCTGTCCATGACCCTAACCCTACCCTGTCCATGACCCCAACCCTACCCTGTCCATGACCCTAACCCTACCCTGTCCATGACCCTAACCCTACCCTGTCCATGACCCTAACCCTACCCTGTCCATGACCCTACCCTGTCCATGACCCTAACCCTACCCTGTCCATGACCCTAACCCTACCCTGTCCATGACCCTACCCTGTCCATGACCCTAACCCTACCCTGTCCATGACCCTAACCCTACCCTGTCCATGACCCTAACCCTACCCTGTCCATGACCCTAACCCTACCCTGTCCATGACCCTAACCCTACCCTGTCCATGACCCTAACCCTACCCTGTCCATGACCCTAACCTTACCCTGTCCATGACCCTAACCTTACCCTGTCCATGACCCACATTAACCCTACCCTGTCCATGACCCTAACCCTACCCTGTCCAAGACCCACCCTAACCTTACCCTGTCCATGACCCTAACCTTACCCTGTCCAAGACCCTAACCCTACCCTGTCCATGACCCTAACCCTACACTGTCCATGACCCTAACCCTACCCTGTCCATGACCCTAACCCTACCCTGTCCATGACCCTAACCCTACCCTGTCCATGACCCTAACCCTACCCTGTCCATGACCCTAACCCTACAATGTCCATGACCCTAACCCTACCCTGTCCATGACCCTAACCCTACCCTGTCCATGACCCTAACCCTACCCTGTCCATGACCCTAACCCTACCCTGTCCAAGACCCTAACCCTACCCTGTCCATGACCCTACCCTGTCCATGACCCTAACCCTACCCTGTCCATGACCCTAACCTTACCCTGTCCATGACCCTAACCCTAACCCTACCCTGTCCATGACCCTAACCCTACCCTGTCCATGACCCTAACCCTACCCTGTCCAAGACCCTAACCCTACCCTGTCCATGACCCTACCCTGTCCATGACCCTAACTCTACCCTGTCCATGACCCTACCCTGTCCATGACCCTAACCCTACCCTGTCCATGACCCTACCCTGTCCATGACCCTAACCCTACCCTGTCCATGACCCTACCCTGTCCATGACCCTAACCCTACCCTGTCCATGACCATAACCCTACCCTGTCCATGACCCTAACCCTACCCTGTCCATGACCCTAACCCTACCCTGTCCATGACCCTAACCCTACCCTGTCCATGACCCTAACCCTACCCTGTCCATGACCCTAACCCTACCCTGTCCATGACCCTAACCTTACCCTGTCCATGACCCACATTAACCCTACCCTGTCCATGACCCTAACCCTACCCTGTCCAAGACCCTAACCCTACCCTGTCCATGACCCTACCCTGTCCATGACCCTAACCCTACCCTGTCCATGACCCTAACCCTACCCTGTCCATGACCCTAACCCTACCCTGTCCATGACCCTAACCCTACCCTGTCCAAGACCCTAACCCTACCCTGTCCATGACCCCAACCCTACCCTGTCCATGACCCTAACCCTAACCCTACCCTGTCCATGACCCTAACCCTACCCTGTCCATGACCCTAACCCTACCCCGTCCATGACCCTAACCCTACCCTGTCCATGACCCTAACCCTACCCTGTCCATGACCCTAACCCTACCCTGTCCATGACCCTAACCCTACCCTGTCCATGACCCTAACCCTACCCTGTCCATGACCCTAACCCTACCCTGTCCAAGACCCTAACCCTAACCCTACCTTGTCCATGACCGTAACCCTACCCTGTCCATGACCCTAACCCTACCCTGTCCATGACCCTAACCCTACCCCGTCCATGACCCTAACCCTACCCTGTCCATGACCCTAACCCTACCCTGTCCATGACCCTAACCCTACCCCGTCCATGACCCTAACCCTACCCTGTCCATGACCCTACCCTGTCCATGACCCTAACCCTACCCTGTCCATGACCCTAACCCTACCCTGTCCATGACCCTAACTCTACCCTGTCCATGACCCTAACCCTACCCTGTCCATGACCCTAACCCTACCCTGTCCATGACCCTAACCCTACCCTGTCCATGACCCACATTAACCCTACCCTGTCCATGACCCTAACCCTACCCTGTCCAAGACCCACCCTAACCTTACCCTGTCCATGACCCTAACCTTACCCTGTCCATGACCCTAACCCTACCCTGTCCATGACCCTAACCCTACCCTGTCCATGACCCTAACCCTACCCTGTCCATGACCCTAACCCTACCCTGTCCATGACCCTAACCCTACCCTGTCCATGACCCTAACCCTACCCTGTCCATGACCCTAACCCTACAATGTCCATGACCCTAACCCTACCCTGTCCATGACCCTAACCCTACCCTGTCCATGACCCTAACCCTACCCTGTCCATGACCCTAACCCTACCCTGTCCAAGACCCTAACCCTACCCTGTCCATGACCCTACCCTGTCCATGACCCTAACCCTACCCTGTCCATGACCCTAACCTTACCCTGTCCATGACCCTAACCCTAACCCTACCCTGTCCATGACCCTAACCCTACCCTGTCCATGACCCTAACCCTACCCTGTCCAAGACCCTAACCCTACCCTGTCCATGACCCTACCCTGTCCATGACCCTAACTCTACCCTGTCCATGACCCTACCCTGTCCATGACCCTAACCCTACCCTGTCCATGACCCTACCCTGTCCATGACCCTAACCCTACCCTGTCCATGACCCTTCCCTGTCCATGACCCTAACCCTACCCTGTCCATGACCATAACCCTACCCTGTCCATGACCCTAACCCTACCCTGTCCATGACCCTAACCCTACCCTGTCCATGACCCTAACCCTACCCTGTCCATGACCCTAACCCTACCCTGTCCATGACCCTAACCCTACCCTGTCCATGACCCTAACCTTACCCTGTCCATGACCCACATTAACCCTACCCTGTCCATGACCCTAACCCTACCCTGTCCAAGACCCTAACCCTACCCTGTCCATGACCCTACCCTGTCCATGACCCTAACCCTACCCTGTCCATGACCCTAACCCTACCCTGTCCATGACCCTATCCCTACCCTGTCCATGACCCTAACCCTACCCTGTCCAAGACCCTAACCCTACCCTGTCCATGACCCCAACCCTACCCTGTCCATGACCCTAACCCTAACCCTACCCTGTCCATGACCCTAACCCTACCCTGTCCATGACCCTAACCCTACCCCGTCCATGACCCTAACCCTACCCTGTCCATGACCCTAACCCTACCCTGTCCATGACCCTAACCCTACCCTGTCCATGACCCTAACCCTACCCTGTCCATGACCCTAACCCTACCCTGTCCATGACCCTAACCCTACCCTGTCCAAGACCCTAACCCTAACCCTACCCTGTCCATGACCCTAACCCTACCCTGTCCATGACCCTAACCCTACCCTGTCCATGACCCTAACCCTACCCCGTCCATGACCCTAACCCTACCCTGTCCATGACCCTAACCCTACCCTGTCCATGACCCTAACCCTACCCCGTCCATGACCCTAACCCTACCCTGTCCATGACCCTACCCTGTCCATGACCCTAACCCTACCCTGTCCATGACCCTAACCCTACCCTGTCCATGACCCTAACTCTACCCTGTCCATGACCCTAACCCTACCCTGTCCATGACCCTAACCCTACCCTGTCCATGACCCTAACCCTACCCTGTCCATGACCCTAACCCTACCCTGTCCAAGACCCTAACCCTACCCTGTCCATGACCCCAACCCTACCCTGTCCATGACCCTAACCCTAACCCTACCCTGTCCATGACCCTAACCCTACCCTGTCCATGACCCTAACCCTATCCTGTCCATGGCCCTAACCCAGACCTTTAACTAATAGTACTATAATAAACAACACGTAGAGTCCATCTGTATTGCTAGTCACATATCCCTACTCCATGCCATAACCAGCCTCCATTAAAAGTCATCTGTCATAATCATGTCTGATTGGCTGTCGGAGAGTGGAGGTCAACATAACCCAGTCGACACACTCCACTGACTATCATTAAAACCCACAATTCCCCTGGCCTATAAATCGGATATCCAGCTAGGTCTGATACATTGTTGTGTGGTTTCACACTAAGAGTGTGGGTACACGTGAGGTTGTAAAAAAATAGTTACGACCCCCAAGTTGGGTCAGATAAACGCTTCATGTGAGTCGGGGGTTGTGGGGTGAGAATCGTAAATTGAGTCACAGTTTGTTCAAAGTTCTAGTCTATAGCTTCCGATTCCCAAGCGATCAACTTCATCATCTGTATTGTGATTTTCTATTTTCTTTTTTTTGTTCAAAATTGGAACAGACAGAAATACAGTTCAAGATTTATATATATATATATATATATATATATATATATATATATATATATATATATATATATATATATATATATATAATCAGGTGGACGTTGAAGAAATACATTCAATACCGAATCTAAAAGTATTTTAAAACGGAGATTCTACTTGCTAGATTTGTTTCCCGTACGTTGACCGTTTCTCTATTATCTATTTTTAGGCCTATCGACAGTGGACACAGGGCAGAGTGCACATACAGCATGATGGCGTCCTTGCAAAGTTTAAAGGCGTTTTACAATGAAACAATGGCGTACGCAGGTATGTGTCTTCGTTTTTTTTCTTTCTCGTATATACGAAGTATAGAGAAAATCTTTTAATCGTGCAAAAAAAAAAAAAATCGAGATTTTTTGCAAATATCGACGTTTACACCTCACTGATACGGAAAAAAACATAATTTTGCTATCTTGTCCGTATGTCTATATGTGTGTGTGTGTGTGTGTTTGTGTGTCTGTAAACACGATAACTTGAGTACCGTTACAGCTAGGTTGATGAAATTTCATATATAAGTATTTTATTAAACTCGTAGATCCGTATCAACTTTTGAGCAATATCCGATAACCGGAAGTGGTACTTTTTTTACTTGGAATTTTTCAAAAACCTATAACTTGAGTACTATTTCAGATATATAAATGAAATTTCACATGTAAGTAAAAGATCTAATTCTCTACATTCTTTCAAATTTTGAGTAATTTCCGTTGACCGAAAGTACTAATTTACGCTAATTCCGATTTCTCTAAAAACTAATGTAAATTTATAAAGTACTAATAATATTCCTCACTATCATGCACATTTTATTTGGCGTTCATTTGGTGTGCAATTCTTTTTTCTATGAGATTTTATTCTATTTTAAAAAAGTTTAAGTATTTAATTTGGATTAAAATTAATGTTTTTTTATATAAGAATATTCGAGAAAGTTTAGGGGAGATCACTCCCGGTTTATTTAAAATACTTTCCAAGTCGCCGAACTTTGCCACCAACTTCTGTACTATTCTACATTCTATTTTTGTTTTGGTCATGTAAAAACTCGACCTACACAAAAAGCGCGCCAGATCATTCGTCAACAAAATGATCTTTTGACGTCGGGTCTGAAAATAAACCGAACTTTTCGCGTATATCGTGTATTGATCTCACCCCCCCCCCCCCCGGGCTCTATCTGACCAATCGCCTGCGCAGATTTATGGTAATTTTATCTTTTCTATTTGGTTCTGGCTTTAAATTGGAGGAAGTCAGTTTAATGTTGTAGGCTTGTTTTTTTTTTGGCAACCGGTACAACATACCTGCCTTGTCATGCCACACTAGGACGTCTCTTGGTGGTTTTTTTTTAATTAAAAGACACGCTAGAGATAGCACAAGGTTGGGACAACACCCCCCCCCCCCCCCTTAACAGAAATCGATTCCCATCCACCTTTTTATATGCGGGGATATGTCATTTTTGCATTCGTGATTTCCTTTCATGATTGATTATTTCTTAGTTTCTTTTGTCACCTATTTTTTCTTTTTGAAAAAAAAAATGTCACTTTTTACTTTCTCGTATATACGTAGTATAGAGAAAGTATTGTAATCGTGCAAAAAAAAAAAAAACGAGATTTTTACAAATCTCGACGTTTTACACCTCACTGATACGGAAAAACATAATTTTGCAATCTTGTCCGTATGTCTGTGTGTGTGTGTGTGTGTCTGTCTGTGTGTCCGTGTGTAAACACGATAACTTGAGTACCGTTACTGCTAGGTTGATGAAATTTCATATATAAGTATTTTATCAAAATCGTAGATCCGTATCAACTTTTGAGCGATTTCCGATAACCGGAAGTGGTACTTTTTCTACTTTGAATTTTTCAAAAGCCTATAACTTGAGTACTATTTCAGATAGATAAATGAAATTTCACATGTAAGTAAAACATCTAATTCTCTACCTTCTGTTAAATTTTGAGTAATTTCCGTTGACCGGAAGTAGTAATTTACGCTACTTCCGATTTCTCAAAAAACTAATGTAAATTTTAAAAGTACTAATTATATTGCGCACTATTATGCGCTTTTTTATTTCGCGTTCACTTGGTGTGCAATTAATTTGTCTACGAGATTTTATTCTATTTTTAAAACTTTAAGTATTTAAAATGGATTAAAAATCATGTCTATAGCCCGAGTTCCCATCCCCTGTTATTTTATATAAAAATATTCGAGAAAGTTTAGGGGAGATCACTCCCGGTTTATTTATATTAATTTTTTTTTATTCCGTTTCAATTATTAAATATTCCGCTGTAAACGAACATACACACACACATACGCCAAAAAAAACATTTCTTTATTGTTGATAGTAACAGCCTAGGCTTGTTTTATATGCATGAACGCAGAGGCGTAGCGACCCTTCCCGGCGCCCGGGGACAAATTTTTCGATTTGCACCCCTCCTCAAGATTTCGATTTGCACCCCTCCTCAAGATTTCGATTTGCACCCCTCCTCAAGATTTCGATTTGCACCCCCCTAAAACTTTCGATTTGCACACACCCACCTCAAACTTTCGATTTACACCCCCCTCAACCTTTCAATTTATTTTCCAACCCATTTTGGCGCCCCCTAAGGTCGGCGCCCCCTAAGGTCGGCGCCCGGGGACATATGTCCCCCCCCCGCGCCCTCTCCTCCCCTCTTTACGCTACTGCATGAACGATAATCTATTCTATTTTACCGAATGTTCTAGGGGAATGGGCCTAGCGTTAGTACCCACAATCCCACACATACACTTCTTTTCTCTGTGTCCCATAGTCCCTACTATAGTCTCACACTCGTCCCATCATCCATGAAGTCGCTTCCTCTCTTAGCCCTACTTTGGTCCCTCACTCATGGTGGTCCCATTATCTGTAAGGTCCCTCGATGGGTTTCCCTACTTTAGTCCCACACTCATGGTCCCATATTTAAATCTCTCTCTGGGTTTCTCTTCTCTAGTCCCACAATCATGGTCCGAGTCTCACTACTATAGCCCCATACTTATGGTCCCATCTTTATGGTCCCTATCTGAGTCCCACTCTGGTCCCACAACCATGGTGTTCCCATCTATACGGTCCCATCTTAAAGGTCCCTCTACTCTAGTCCCACACTCATGGTCCCATCTTTAAGGTCCCTCTACTCTAGTCCCACCCTCATGGTCCCATCTTTAAGGTCCCTCTATTCTAGTCCCACACTCATGGTCCAATCTTTAAGATCCCTCTACTCTAGTCCCACACTCATGGTCCCATATTTAAGGTCCCTCTACTCTAGTCCCACACTCATGGTCCCATCTTTAAGGCCCCTCTACTCTAGTCCCACACTCATGGTCCCATCTTTAAGCTCTCTCGCTGGGTCCCTCTACTCTAGTCCCACACTCATGGTCCCATCTGTGGATCTCCCTACTCTAGTCACACCCACACTTCCTCACTGAGACCACACCCAACCCTCCCACCCACGGTGCCGTACCGTACCGTACCCCACCCACTCTATCAACTCTCCTCTACCTACCCAGCCCCGCAGTTTTGTTTTGTCCCACTGCTTGTCTACCGTCAACAAACACGCGTCGTACACAAAGCAGCATGTCCTAGATTTCACCTGAGCTTTAACTACGTGGGCGGGTGGGAGGGGGGCGAGATTTGATCAGCCTACATGTTAAAAAAACAAACAAAACAACCCCATCCCCATTTCGTCTGCTACACAGCTACACGTTTTAACATTCAACACTTCAACACATCGCCCTTTAGTCTTATGCGTCCCAATGGTTCTCCACTGACCAGTAACCAGCTCTCAAATACGGCCTTGACATTGTAGGTGTCATCGGTTTGTGGTAAAAGGACAAGCCATTGAACGTGTTTGTCTGTTGACCAAACTAGGATGGCGTTCCGCATGGCTGGTTTTTCTCTTCACGTTCCGCTTGACCTCCCCGCGAGGGTAACCGTAGACGGGGGTGTACGTGGTTAAACCGGATCTGGGGTGGGAACAGTCGTATGCACACATTCCAGGTGTAGAGTGCAGGGTTTAAACATGGAGGGATGGAGCTTAGTGGTGGAGGGGTGGAGCTTTGTGGTGGAGGGACGTAGCTTAGTGGTAAAGGGACGGAGCTTAGTGGTGGGGGGGGGGGCAGAGCTGAGTGGCGGAGGGATGGAGCTTAGTGGTGGAGGGATGGAGCTTAGTGGTGGAGGGACGGAGCTTAGTGTTGGAGGAATGGAGTTTAGTGGTGGAGGGATGGAGCTTAGTGGTGGAGGGACGGAGCTTAGTGGTGGAGGGATGGAGCTTAGTGGTGGAGGGATGGAGCTTAGTGGTGGAGCTTAGTGTTGGAGGAATGGAGCTTAGTGGTGGTGGGATGGAGCTTAGTGGTGGTGGGATGGAGCTTAGTGGTGGAGGGATGGAGCTTAGTGGTGGAGGGACGGAGCTTAGTGTTGGAGGAATGGAGTTTAGTGGAGGAGGGATGGAGCTTAGTGGTGGAGGGACGGAGCTTAGTGGTGGAGGGATGGAGCTTAGTGGTGGTGGGATGGAGCTTAGTGGTGGAGGGATGGAGCTTAGTGGTGGTGGGATGGAGCTTAGTGGTGGAGGGATGGAGCTTAGTGGTGGAGCTTAGTGTTGGAGGAATGGAGCTTAGTGGTGGTGGGATGGAGCTTAGTGGTGGAGGGACAGAGCTTAGTGGTGGAAGGAATCGAGCTGTGGTGGAGAAATGGAGCTTAGTGGCAGAGGCATTTTGTTAAGTGGTGAAGGCATTGAGCTGAATGGTGGAACGAACTGAGCTAAGTAGTGGAGGCATGGAGTTCAGTTGAGGAAACATGGAGCTAAATGGTTGAGGGATGGAGCTAATTAATGTAGGCATGGAGCTAAATGGTGAAGGCATGGAGCTAAATGGTGGAGGGAATGGAGCTTAGTGGTGGGGAATGGAGCTAAGTGGTGAAGGGATGGAGCTAAATGGTGGAGACATGGAGCTAAATGGTGGAGGCATGGAGCTAAATGGTGGAGGCATGGAGCTAAATGGTGGAGGGAATGGAGCTAAATGGTGGAGGGAATGGAGCTAAATGGTGGAGGGAATGGAGCTAAATGGTGGAGGGAATGGAGCTAAATGGTGGAGGGAATGGAGCTAAATGGTGGAGGGAATGGAGCTAAATGGTGGAGGGAATGGAGCTTAGTGGTGGGGAATGGAGCTAAGTGGTGGAAGGATGCAGCTTAGTGTTGGACTTTGTGTATTCTATAAGGGTCGCCAATATTAATATATAACTGCAATAAAGGTAGCCCAGCACTTAACTGTACACCACCTTATATTCCAGATCCTCGCTGTGATGGCTACCCATTGCTAGACTCGCCAGATAAAATGCTGGCTCTGATAGGTCTCTACCTATTTGTGGTGTGGCAGGGCCCTAAGTGGATGGTACCCTACAAGCCCTGGGACCTGAAGAACACAATCATTGTATACAACTTTGCCATGGTCATACTCTCCTCAGTCATTTCCATTGGGGTCAGTGTTTTTTTTTTTATTTAGTACGCTTTTATAATTTTAAAAAATCTTAAAATCTTAAAAAAAAAATTTTAAACACTTATCACACGTTCATTATTATTTTTTTTTTTTAAAGTTTATTTAAAGTTTATTAGGCACACACTTTAATTTTTTTTTAAATCTGTGAAGTATTTATTTTTAACCTTTTTAAAAGTATTTTGAGATTTTTTAAAATAGCAATGAGATTTAATATTTTTTATGATCACATATCATTGTTTTAAATTAAAATCAATCATCTTTTAATTAATATAACCACTTTAAAATAGGTAATCAAATGTTATTACATTATTTAAGATTATTTTTAGTTGTCTAATATTTTATGACCACAAGTTATTGTTTTAAACTTAAATCAATAAGTTTTTATATTTAAAAAAAATCATAAACACATTTCAAAATTGTAAGCATACATTAATTTTTTTCTATTGACTTCACTTGTCTAATATTACCTTTTGTATAACTAATCCATGACCTTTGAACTTCAGTCTATCATTGGAATTGTGAAAGCAGGAGGCTATTCAATTTTCTGTGATGGCATGGACAAGTATCAGTTCTCAGAAGACAGTGGATTTGTAAGTAGCTGTTCATCTAATGTTCTATGGGGGTCTATTGAACATTTTAATGTTGCCGTGGGTGTAAGGAAATAATGATATTACAGTGGATTTGTAAGTAGCTGTTTATCTAATGTTCTATGGGGTCTATTGAACATTTTAATGTTTTTGGTGGTGTAAAGAAATAATGATATTACAGTGGATTTTAAGTTGCTGTTCATCTAACATTTTATTGTTGCTGTTATTGTAAGGAAATAATGATATTACAGTGGATTTGTAAGTAGCTGTTCATCTAATGGTCTAGTGAACATTTTAATGGCACCATTATTGTAATGAAATAATGATATTACATAGACTTGACTGTAGGTGAAACATTGCAGTCAAATGACATATTACAATGACATGACTGTAGTTAAAAAACAATATTTATATGCCGGTTTATCAATGATGCAATCTTTCATTAATTGCTGTATATAATACATTGCAACATAGAAGGATTTCTCTCGGCAGACGTGATTTAAAATTAAAATATGCCTAGGTAGGCTACACTGGCAGTGGCCTTATTGCCCTGTTCAGTTAATGACCTTATCAAAGGTGATTCCTGACTGTATTTCCATTTCTGCATATATACAGTACTACTTATCATTCTGTAATTCATAATAAACTAAATCTTCTCATGCTTTCAAACCTGATGGTCTATGAGGCAAGTGGAGTAGAGTTCACCTGTTTTTGTGACCTCGACATATGAAGAGATAGTGTGGTTAGCTTTATGTCCAGCTGACTTAACATTCCCTAAAGTGAGTTAGGTACCCATCAGAGATGGGTGGACTCAGGGATGTCTACTGACTTGAACCTAGATTTGAACTCAAGATTTTTGGGTTAGCAGTCTAGCACTCTACCGCTAGGCCACGCCGTCCCATTTGTGCTGTATGTTTGAAATCAAATGAAAAAGGTTTTGTAATAGTTCATACCCTAACTAAAACCAGAACATTTATTTAAAAGAAACTTAAGTTTAAAACTTATAATGTTTATATGAAGTTTCCCTTTCAAACCTGACGGTCTATGGGGCAAGTGAAGTAGAGTTCACTTGTTTCTGTGACCTCAGCATATGAAGAGATAGTGTGGTCAGCACTATGCCCAGTCGCCTTTACTTACCCTAACATAAGTTAGGTACCCATCAGAGTTGGGTGGACTCAGGGACGGTCTACTGACTTGAACCCAGATTTGAACTCGAGACTTACGGGTTAGCAGTCCAGCTCTCTACCGCTAGACCACTCCGTCCCACAATGTTTATATGACAATGCTTTATCCACATGCAAAATGTTTATCTAGCAAGCTACTTAGATGTTTAACAATAGAGAAATGTAAAAAAAAATTGTTATTAGATGCACAACTAATGTCTTTACTTTTTTATTTTCCTCAGAAATATTACGTGAGTATACTCTATTTTACACTCCATAGTTGAATCTAAATATTTTCACTATTAAAATGTATAAGTAACTTTGTATTCTTAGAAAATTAATTATATGATATTAAAAATACATAAAATCACTTGGGTTACCCATAATTATATTAATTATATACTATATATTATTACATTATTATAGTAGTTAATATAGTTCAGAAGGTAGATTTATAAATGAAAAAACTTATTTATGCTATCTTTTATTTCAGTATGTAAATGTAGGCTGGTTATTCTTTATATCAAAGCTTATTGAATTCTTAGACACAGTAAGTTTGATTTTTTGTTATTTAAATACTGTACCAATTAGTTTTGGTATTTTTTTAATCATCTTTTACCGGTTCAAACCCAAGACATATGGGGTGGAAGAAGTAAATTTTTTCAATGATCTTGGTATACAAGGGGATTGTGTGCATACAAGGGGATTGTATGGTCAGCCGCCTTTGTTTCCCTAACAGGAGTCAGGTACCCATCAGAGCTGGGTAGACTCTGCAATGTCCTATAGACTCTAGCTCAGAATCAGAACTCTAGACTTTTGGGTTAGCAGATGTATGCTCTACTATTTGACCGCTGACCCAATTTTAGTTTATTATTTTTTAAATATCAAATTTTATTGAGCTCTTAGTTTCAGTAAGTTCAGTTTTTGTTTTTATAATACTATTCGGATTGGATTGGTGCTTATATATTTAAAATATTATTTCAAAATAAATGAATGATTGTATTCCTTGTTTCAGATTTTCTTTGTTTTGCGCAAGAAAAATAACCAGATCACCTTTCTTCATGTTTATCACCACGCCACCATGACAGTTTTTACATGGCTGGGAGTAAAGTTCCTGCCTGGGGGAACCAGTGAGTTGTTGACTGTTCTGTTTGGGCATGTTTAGAGATTTAACCATGGTTTTGTATAAAGTTAACTTTTTAATTTGGGCATGCTTTAGAGATTTAACTTTGTCATGGTTTGGTTTTAATACTAGGCATGCTTCACAGATTTAACTTTGTCATGGTTTGGTTTTAATTTGGGCATCCTTTAGAGTTTTAACTTTGTCATGGTTTGGTTTTAATACTGGGCATGCTTAGAGATTTAACTTTGTCATGGTTTGGTTTTAATTTGGGCATCCTTTAGAGATTTAACTTTGTCATGGTTTGGTTTTAATTTGGGCATCCTTTAGAGTTTTAACTTTGTCATGGTTTGGTTTTAATACTGGGCATGCTTAGAGATTTAACTTTGTCATGGTTTGGTTTTAATTTGGGCATCCTTTAGAGATTTAACTTTGTCATGGTTTGGTTTTAATTTGGGCATCCTTTAGAGATTTAACTTTGTCATGGTTTGGTTTTAATACTGGGCATGCTTAGAGATTTAACTTTGTCATGGTTTGGTTTTAATTTGGGCATCCTTTAGAGATTTAACTTTGTCATGGTTTGGTTTTAATTTGGGCTTGCTTTAGATATGTGTATTATATTGTATCTGCTTTGTTGATAACTTTCATATTTGTGTATGATTTTAAGATTTCTCAGTGTGATCTAATATACTAAGCCTGCTTCATGATTCTTTTTTTGCTAAAATAACTAAGTATCTTGTTCAATTTATAACTAATTTCTTTCCTTCTCTCCAGATATTATCTACCCACTAATCAACAGTTTCATCCACGCCGTCATGTACACATACTACGCCCTGGCTGCCTTTGGGCCAGAGATGAGGAAGTATCTCTGGTGGAAGAAGTATCTGACCAAAATGCAAATTGTGAGTCTTTGAATTCTTCATCAGTCTTTAGTCCCCTCCCCCAATATTACAAAACCAGGGGATAAGGTCAAGGCCAGGGTCAAACCAGGGTTACGGCTAGGGTAACTTGGGTTATGGCTAGGGTAAGTTGAGTTATGTCTAGGGTAATCAGGGTTATGGCTAGGATGATCAGGGTTATGGGTAGGGTAATCAAGGTTATGGCTAGGTAAATCAGGGTTATAGGTAGGGTAACCAGGGTTATGGCTAGGGTACCAGGGTTATTGGTCAGAGCTAGGGTCTGTACCTGGGTCAGTGCTAGGGTCTGTACCTGGGTCAGTGCTAGGGTCTGTACCTGGGTCAGTGCTAGGGTCTGTACCTGGGTCAGTGCTAGGGTCTGTACCTGGGTCAATGCTAGGGTCTGTACCTGGGTCAATGCTAGGGTCTGTACCTGGGTCAGTGCTAGGGTCTGTACCTGGGTCAATGCTAGGGTCTGTACCTGAGTCAGTGCTAGGGTCTGTACCTGGGTCAGTGCTAGGGTCTTTACCTGGGTCAGAGCTAGGGTCTGTATCTGGGTCAGTGCTAGGGTCTGTACCTGGGTCATGTCTAGGGTCTGTGGGTCAGTGCTAGGGTCTGTACCTGGGTCAGTGCTAGGGTCTGTACCTGGGTCAGTGCTAGGGTCTGTACCTGGGTCATGTCTAGGGTCTGTACCTGGGTCATGTCTAGGGTCTGTACCTGGGTCAGTGCTAGGGTCTGTACCTGGGTCATGTCTAGTGTCTGTACCAGGGGCAGGACTAGTGTCATTTTTGTTACAGTTTTTATTTATTTTTTAACAAACAGTCTAGAATCATTACATACATAAAACAATGATATGAATGTATTAACCCACTCTATTAAACCAATGATATAAATGTATTAACCCACTCTATTAAACCAATGATATAAATGTGTAAACCCACTCTATTAAACCAATGATATAAATGTATTAACCCACTCTATTAAACCAATGATATGAATGTAGTAACCCACTCTATTAAACCAATGATATAAATGTATTAACCCACTCTATTAAACCAATGATATAAATGTATTAACCCACTCTATTAAACCAATGATATAAATGTATTAACCCACTCTCCTGCTGTTCTCTCCCCAGAGCCAGTTTGTGATCTTCCTATCGCAGGGTGTGCTGAATGCCATCTACGAGTGCCCCTTCTCCAAAGCCTTCGTCTATGCAGTCTTCATCTACACATTCACCATCCTGCTGCTTTTTATAAACTTTTACGTCAGGGCTTACATAATGTCCCCCAAGCCTGTGTCAGCTGCTAAAAATGGACACCATGTCAAGAACGGAGATGCCGTCAAAAACGGGAAAGCGGTCAAGAACGGGGAGACAGTCAAGAACGGAGAATCAAATCTGAATGGATCCGTCAAAAAATTGAATTAGTGGTAAATTTTTTTTCCCTCAACTTATTTATTTAATAAGTCAGATTTGCACCAGTGAATGGTTTACGTGACCTCCAAGGATGCTTGAGTGTATGATATTTTTTTTTCATAATGGCTCAGAGATAGATCCAAGTTAGTTGCGTGTTTAGGTGTATCATCAAGAACCTTTATGCTGCTTCCAATATCTGTTGGTTCAAATGCTTAAGTCAACTTCCTTTAGTTAACACAGAAGGACACGTATGTGAATAAATTGTTTTTTTTTTTACTTATGAGTTAAAATACTTTCTATGTATATTTTCTATTCATGCTATATAATTTTTGGTGTATGGGGTATTTGTGGAATAGGATTTGTTTTTTTGATCTTGTGGCTAAGTTCTGAATTCAAATATGTATATAATAATTGTTGTATTATAGGTTTATTCAGTAAATCAGCTGGGGGGAAGGGGGGGGGTGCATTGAGAGTCTAAACTAAGTCATCTATATTTTTTTTTTAATGAACAAAATCTAGCCCCCACCAAAGCCGTAAAATTTGTAGCATCAATGTCAGTGTGGTGGTCAAATTTTTTTGTGGATATAAAAAAAATTTTCATCTAGAACTTGGTTTAAATTTAAAAAAATGGATATTGTTCCAGCTGCTCTGTTTTTACCTGGTTTAAACTGTAAGTCAGGAGGTAATACTAATAATAATGATGGCTTAGAACATAATTGATTGTGTCCAACCCCTGAATTAATGGGGGCATACGACGATGCCTTGGTGTGTTGTCTGATGAAGTGCCAGACTAAATCCTAGTGTCAAGACAATGCCTTGAGTGTCTGGCATTAGACATGGCATTTTGTGGCAATCAATGCCCTGAGTGTCTGGCATTAGACATGGCATTTTGTGTCAATCGATGCCTTGTGTTTCAGTCAATGCCTTGTGGGTTAGATGATGCTTTGTGTCCGTCAATTCCCATGTGTGTCAGTCAATGCCTTGTGTGTCTGGCATTAGACATTGCATTTTGTGGCAATCGATGCCTTGTGTGTCAGTCAATGCCTTGTGTGTCCGTTAATACCTTGAGTGTTACTGTTAGATGATGCGTATTGTGTTAGATGATGCGTAATGTGATAGGTGATGCGTAGTGTGTTAGATGATGCGTAATGTGTTAAATAATGCGTAGTTTAATCCACACCTGCCATGAATTGGGCTGAGGGTCAGCACAATGAGCTATCCAACAAACTGACAATGCTATTTTTTTAGGTTGTATTAATGGCTTTGTGCCTTGATATAAAACATTCCGAATTTTGTATTGTATCCCCAAATTTATAACTTGTTTTTTGTATTGATCAGTTTGTATTTTATATTTATTATAAACACCATGGACTAAATCAGTTATGTGACCTTGAACACATTACAACTGTGCATTTATAGAGATAATCCTATGACATCCAAACATCCCCCACCTCACCCCCACCCCCCTGTTGTAGAGGTGGGGGTGAGGTGGGGGATGGACATGTAATTTCTTAAGCACTTTATTTAAAAAAACCTCACAGATTTTTTCAGTTATTTTTATTTTTTTTGAGACTAATTTCATATTAGTAATTATGTACCTTTAATGTCAAAATAGTTTATAAATAAATGCATGAGGTCGGCCTGACCTTAAAGCCTAGATTGTATACTTTATGTATAGATCTACTTGTATTGTATGCAAGCCTTAGTAGATTTTATAAATTGAGAGAAAAAGAAACTTCAACACACAATGTTGACATCCACTATAGTGTTGTTGGAGACTTGATTATTATCAAGCAGGTTTTAATTGTATGGTCTGCTAGTGAAGAGTGTATCAAATATTAACTTTAAATTTATTTGTGCAAATTGAAATTTTTTTGTATATTTTTTTTTAGTTTTTAAACAATTTCTTGCTTTAATAATAAGTCTGGCTGCTACCAAAAAAATAACTTGGTTGTGTTTATAATTATGTATTTGCATAATGAATGGGTAGTCAATTGGTAATTTAGATTTATTTTGTATTAGGACATATTTATAATTGAGGTAACTGCTTTTTTTTTGTGCTTGGCCAGGACAATTTTTGTTTGTGTTAACCAATTTTTGTAAATATTAGTTCTGTATGAGGAGACTCACTTTGTGTAACAGCCAAAGGAGGATAACTTTTTTTACCATGATAATTCCACCAGACACACTTATGAGGCCAAATCTATAGAGGATAAAATATTCCGCTAATAAATTAAGCAATATTTCTATGTAAATACGACTTCCATAAACACATTTTCTAAATTATGGATGAGTTAGAAAATAAAACTTAACAAAAAGTTTAAAAAAAAAACAAACCAAAATGGAGTTCAAAATTATTGTTCCAAGCCAAGCTTGTGAATAAAAGTGATTCTGTAACATTGTTGCAAAAGCCTTTAAGAAAAAGCCACAAATAAACCCACACTATTTTCCCCTTAAAAAATTGACCATATATTTTTTATCTTACTAAAACCACAGGAAGTTAGGGTAATCTTGGTTTGGCTAATAAAACTCTCCGACCTTCACCTGTCCCCAACCTTGAGGACATCATGCAATGACCCAAGTGACCTTTGAACCATGTCTGTACATATGTTGACTGCAATAATTGTCTTGAGTTTGTTGTGAGACTGAAACCCATATACCCCCACATAATTGGTGAATACATATTATTATGTTTCTATTTTAAAACAAAAAACTGTATTTATAGCTAAATACTTATATCATTGCCTGAGTTGATATATTTACTACATAATAAACTTGCTGGTCACTTGATTGTATTCATACAAAAGTGACAAGGGAGGGAAATCTTTCTATTTCCAGGGGAGGTAAAATATACTTTAAAGAGTTATATTTTACTTATAAATATCTCTGTCTATAATCTAAATAACAATCAGAAATTAGATTTTTTATTTTGGTTTCATTATGAATTATTTGTACTGCTGCAGATGTATTTATGTTTAGACAAACTTTTTATTTAACCTAAGTATTGACATTGCTAGTAGAATCCCATGTGTAAAACTTTTAATTTTGACAACTGCTTTCAAAGTTAATTTCTGTGCTGGAATTCATTTGAAGCACTTTCAATTATCCGAGAATAAAATAAAGTAACAAAATATTTTCTTGTGCTATTAATCAGGTCTTTGCTTTTTGTTCAATTTCATTCAAAAACACAATTCATGAAATGTTTATTTTTTAATGTGCTTCTTGTAAAAAAAAATTTATAAAAAATTGGGGTTTCCTGTGCATGATTTATGTACTATTCACTAGGAAAGTATTGTCTATATTGATAAGGTGGGGGTAGAGGGGTTGTAATTCAGTTATTTAAATGTTAACATTCTTAAGTAATGTTTAAATTACAACTGTTACCAAGCTAGTTGTGTGTAAAATGTCACCAACATTCCACTAATGTACTTTTTATAGTAGAATACATTTTAAAATATTCTCAATTCTGTTTTGTTGTTACTTGAATGATTTCACTTATTTTAAAAAGAATAAATATAAAATAAATTAATAGCCTAAAAACCACCAGCTGCCCTGAAAATTTTCTAATGGCTAGGTAAACACCATGACCTAAAACTCTTATAATGGCTATAGATACATAATGGCTTAAAGTTCTTCTCTTAATGGCCAGAGATACACAATGGCCTAAAGCTCTTCTTATAATGGCCAGAGACACACAATGGCCTAATGCTCTTCTCATAATGGCCAGAGACACACAGTGGCTTAAAGCTCTTCTCATAATGGCCAGAGACACACAATGGCCTAATGCTCTTCTCATAATGGCCAGAGACACACAGTGGCTTAAAGCTCTTCTCATAATGGCCAGAGACACACAATGGCCTAATGCTCTTCTCATAATGGCCAGAGACACACAGTGGCTTAAAGCTCTTCTCATAATGGCCAGAGATACACAATGGCCTAATGCTCTTCTCATAATGGCCAGAAATACACAGTGGCTTAAAGCTCTTCTCATAATGGCCAGATTATACACAATGGCCTAAAGCTCTTCTCATAATGGCCAGAGATACACAGTGGCCTAAAGCTCTTCTCATAATGGCCAGATATACACAGTGGCTTAAAGCTCATCTCATAATGGCCAGAGATACACACTGGCCTAAAGCTCGTCTCATAATGGCCAGAGTCACGAGTGGCGGGGCTTATTTGGACAAGGCCCTCAATATACTGTACCACCGTGGGGATAACGTGGGCACTACCTTACCGGCCAGGGCACTACGCAGGGCACTACCTCGCCGGTCAGGGCACTACCTCACGGCCAGGGCACTACGCAGGGCACTACCTCACCGGTCAGGGCACTACCTCACGGCCAGGGCACTACCTCACGGTCAGGGCAATACCTCACCACTCACGACCAAGGCACTACCTCACGGCCAGGGCACTACCTCACCGACCAGGGCACTACGCAGGGCACTACCTCACCGGCCAGGGCACTACCTCACCGGCCAAGGTACTACCTCATCGGCCAGGGCACTACCTCACCCACCAGGGCACTACCTCACGGCCAAGGCACTACCTCGCCGGCCAGGGCACTACGCAGGGCACTACCTCACCGGCCAGGGTACTACCTCACGGCCAAGGCACTACCTCACCGGCTAGGGCACTACCTCACCGGCCAGGGCACTATCTCACCGGCCAGGGCACTACCTCACCGGCCAGGGCACTACCTCACCAGCCAGGGCACTACCTCACCGGCCAGGGCACTACCTCACAGGCCAGGGCTTCAATACAAAGTACCAGACTTTATTGGATGCTTAATTATTTTTTTGAAGAACTTCAAGAAATAATTAGTTTTCCCAATAAAGTACTTATTTTCCACGCACATGTATTTCGTACAATTGTTGCGCAATTGTTTTAGTCACGCGATTCTACTATATTTAATTATATTAATTTTAACAATATATTCTTCCTTTTCTTCTTTAGTTTTAGTGTTGGAAACTATAACTATCTGAATAGTTGTAAAAACGCACACAGACACGCGCATGTGCGAACACACAATGCAGTTTGTTTGACATGACAAATAATGAAAAAAAAAACGCTTTACTGAACTGAAACAAATTTACAAAAAAAAAAAAAATTGTGTTAGTTTGCCAATGGGTTTTATTTTTAAAAATCTGTTATTTAAAAAAATAAAAACAAAAAAAAGTTTAATAATTAGAGATACATTAGAGTTGTCGACTGGTGCTAAAACCTGAGGTGCTAAACAACATGAAGGACAGAGGACCGTATTATGTTGTAGATACGATTGCGGAACTATTCTATACTGTTTGGATATGTGTATAAACCCCGCCAAAAATTTACCCCCATCCCCCGTTACCCAAAAAAGATCATAAAAAGATTATATGAAACTGGTACTTTACGATTGAAGAGGGTGAAATTGGGACAGGCTATTCATAATGTGCATGGAAAAACGTTTAATAATTATTAAAAACTTGAGGTTCTGAATAACGTTATAGACAGGACCATTTTAGGTTATACACAGGACTGCGTACCTATAAACCAGTTTATAAAAATAGATCATTGTGAACAAAAAATCTTGTCTGATATCGCTTTAATCTTTCTTTGCTTTGTTGGGACGATAATTGTGTTTGTCTCCCTCTTTCTTGCTTTCCTTTTTCTGGCAAAAAAAAAAAAAATGCAAGTCTAAAAGAAAAATAACACAGATACACTTTGAATACACTCATACAGCATACTCTAAAATATCTATATCTACTGTAACAACAAAAACAAACACTTTAAAATAAAAAAAAAATAGTAAAATCAAAAGGTGTAGATAAAAACAACCAAAGATGTATAGAAAAGTCTTACTGGCACGTTAGGACCGTTGGAGAAGGTCAGGTTCTTTGCCGTGCCGTAGAACACATTGGAGTGTGAACAGTCACGATTCCTGTTCTTGTGGTACGTAGCGACGATAGTTTCATCTTCTGTAGAATATAAATAAAATAATATGTAAAAGTTAGCTCATATCCATTCATTTTTCGTCCATCCATCCATCCACCCACGCACCCATCCATCCATCCATTCAATACAAAAATTAATACCGTCAGATGAAGATTCATCATAATCATCATCGTCGCTGTCTCCTGTGGTTGACCCTCGTGACGTTTTTTTCTTCTTTCTGTTTTCTTCTTGGGGTGAGGCGCTCCTTTTTCTTTTGTTCCTAAGCAATGGGTCTTTGTCCACTGAAATAAAAATAACATTTAGTTATGAAAACGAATGATCAACGAGATAAATGGATGGATGGATTATTGGATGGATTATTGGATGGATGGATGGATGGATGGATGGATGGATGGATGGATGGATGGGTGGATGGGTGGATGGATGGATGGATGGATGGATGGATGGATGGATGAATGGATGGATGGGTGGATGGGTGGATGGATGGATGGATGGATGGATGGATGGATGGATGGATGGATGGATGGATGGATGGATGGATGGATGGGTGGTGGATGGATGGATGGATGGATGGATGAATAGCTAGGATATAAGGAAAATTTTATT